AGTAGGAGCATAGCTGAAGTTGTTTTGCCTTGAGTCTGGATTAGTTTTTTGAAAAATGTGAGTGCTGGTGGTCCTTCTCGCTCCAAAATCCCATTTCATCTTATCTGCATTGAAAGTGAATTTTTGGTGGGCTTTATTTAATTTGACTGCCTGTGCTGTTTGTTTAGTCAGTGCTTTTTAACCACAAACAACAACAGGCACCAACTCCAACTGTGTGAAGTGTACCCATATATATGTGGGGCATTGCAGACTGATCAAAACTTCCCAGTACACCTAGTCCTTTCTCTATGAACTTGTCTCTGTACATTCAGGGAATGGAGACGTGGCATAGCTACAACTTTTTCAGTGTGAGCACATACATCTTTGCCTCATTTTTGCTGCCTTGGGACAAATCTCTGTTTATTTGCCTTAGTTTTCATTTCCTTATTGACTTTGTGTGCACTCCTGTCTCCACTAAATTTCAGTGATCATTGTTCCTGTGCATGCAAACAATGCATAAAACAACTGAAGGGCAGCATTCACCTCATTTACTGTTGCCCCAAGTGAAGCAAGTTTTCTCTTCCTGTGAGTGGAGAGCGAAAACCCAAGGCAGCTGCAAACATAGTGATTACCAGGGTGATTATGGTATAATAAAACAAAAACTGACAGAAACTTTTTTGTAAACTGAAATAAAATAATTTACCTCAAGAAAATGAAAAACTAAAACCAAACAAAATGTCACTAAAACGCTATCGTTCTGTAGACCTTCTCATTCAACATAGTGGGTGACCCAAAATTCTGTGTAGCTGTAACATATGGCAATATAGTGCCAGGCCCCATGCTTAGATCTCATCAAGTGAGGGAAGGAGGTCAAAATGTCAAGAAGAAAAAAGTAGGAGCCTTTTATAGGGCAATTTTGAAGCAAAAGTAGTACGAGCAAATGCATGGTTGTTTCAAGTAACCACATCTACTGTCTAGAAATCAAAGAGAAAAACCCAAACATATCGTAAAGCTCATATTCAAATTTAACATTGAACGGAACATGCAGCGTTCATGGTAAAAGTGAGAAAGAGCATTATCAACGAGGATAACCTTAGCACTACATCCAGCAAGTAGCAGAGCCAAACACACTGCTAGAAAAGAACAGAGGAGCAGATGACTGGCTCCAGTGAATACGAAACACAGGAAAACACACATCTATTTGTTGAAACTGGTATGTCACCCACATATGACACACAAGCTTTCAAAGAATTTAATACTGAACTTGATCCCAAATTCTAAACTGCAGGGGTTGAATGCATCAATACATTTAATGCACTGAAAATGATTACCATCAACCAACTTCAGCTTTTCTCATCCACACACTGGGGAGACAATAGCCAAAAGTAAAGACAGGACTAAACTGACCTGAAGTAAATTGGTCTAACATTCACACTGTGGTCTTGCCTTTTATATTAACAGGCTTTGCCAGCCTGAAACAAATGTGGTGCATATGTTAGTGCAGTGGAGTCTTAAAATGTTGACATCTTCATGTTCATTATTTCTCGCACTGGTCCTTGTCAACTTGTATCCATAACTAAAATCGAAACTAAAACAAAACAAAATCTAAATAGAAATGAGTCCATAAAAACGTAACTGAAACTTAAACTGAAACCGCTGGCAGAACTAACTAAAACTAAATGGAAATTCAGATCGAATCCAAAAATATCAAAATAAAACTAATCTGAAAATGGAAAATTATTACAACCCTGGTGATACAGGACACTTTGAAGGGGACTGGAAACGGCTGATGCTCACATACTCTGCTCTCAACAATTCACTCAAAGAAATAAAATCAGATACATATTTGATCAACATTTAATGTTATACTGCTCTAATTTCATTGTGTCTACTAAAAATTTTACAAACAATGAATTAATTTCCTGAAAATGAAGACTTTTTCTAGCGCGTGTTGACTGTGTCTAGTATCAAATGACAAGATCAACGTTGGTTCGAGCAGGTCATCATTTCAACTCATTGATTTGGTTTTTTACACTAGTCAGTGGTTCCATTTTATAATAATCACTTCCCGTGTTTCCATATTAACCATTAAATTATTAAAAATACTTATTACAGTTTTGCCTATTGCTAACACACTACAATCATTTCCCTCAGCACAAAATTCATACCCTTACCTCAGTTTTCAAAAGATATGCACTGTTACCATAACTGCAAACAGTAAACATTTTTCAATATGTAAAGTTTTTTTTTGCAAAACTCTATGAATGAATCATTAATTACATTTTTTTTTTATTTGAAAATGCATATAATCACTGGATAAGGCACACCACAGCTCACTACCCAAGCTGCCTGGAAAGGGGTAGCATCTTATGTAATGTGGAGGAAACCCTGTGGCCAGAGCCACAACAAGGATATATGAAGAGAAATGCAGAGTAGATTTAAATTATTTTTTTTCTAGCAGTGTCAATTTACGGCATTTGTTTATCTCGTATAAAGGTGTTGGGCCACCAAATGCCACCAGAACAACTTTATTGCACCTTGTCATTGACTCTACACGTGTCTAAACTCTACTGGGGGGATGAACAGCATTGTTCTAAAAGATATCCCCTTATGTGGTGTTTGGATGATGGTAGTGTCTGACACGCCGGTCTAAAATCGCCCACAGGTGTTGAACTGGGTTGAGACTGTGACTGTGAAGGCCACAGCACATGATTCACATCATTTTCATCCTCATCAAACCATTCAGTGAGCCCTCATGCCCTGTGGATGGAGGCACTGTCATCCTGGAAGAGACCAGTCATTTATTCATGATTAGTTTGTCACCCATCTGTATCTGATAGTACTGTTTTAATGTCTCCTGATACTGTGTTCCTGTAAGGGTAATCTGTACATGTATGGTTAGTGCCATGGTGTTACAGATTTTAAAAACATGTAATTTGGCCTAAAAATATCAGTTTCATGCAAAAAAAAAAACACCTTTTGGTGGAAGTGTTTTAAAATAATTTGTCAGGCATGTACAGTAGTGTGTGCTAAGATGTATCTTAGCAATCAGAAAAAAAACTGTACTTCTTTGTAATATAAACTGTATTAAGGCCTAGAACATAAAAATTATTTGGGTCTTATCCTGTAATTCAGAGGTTAAGGCAAGTAAACAAAGGAGTATGAATGATTTAGAGTTGTACCCCAGGGACTCCCAAGGAGCACATAGTGTTTTTTGCTTGATGCATCATTATCTTCTAATCATGTAGTGTGAGCAGACTTGGATTCAAGACCACTACTGTATGTGTGCGATGGAGGTCTAACATTTGCTGTGAAGTAAATTCAAAACTTGCCAAGTGTTTAATTTTGATAGATAGGTCAAGATGTGACATTAGCATCTTAATCATTTATCCTCTTGTGCCTGGGTCTGTGAAAGGTGTGATCGATTATGCATGTGAAGTAGGTTCAGTCAAAAACTATATCCTGCTGTAGCTGGCAGCAAATCTGTGTTCTGTGCCATCATGTGTTTGGACAAATTTAGACTGCAAAGCAAAATTTGGTAATGTAGCTTTGTGCTTAAAACTTTATATACATCTGGTTACAGCGAACTGCTGTATTGCCGTATAGGAACCAAGTGTGCCTTAATTTAATAGTAACATGCCCATATGTACATTGAAATAGTTACCAGGTTGCTGTAATCTTTTCTCCTGTCTGTTGTAATTACGTGATCCAGCGCAGTTAAACACTAAAAGATAAGGACATGATGTAAACTGAAGTTCAGCAAAAGCTAATATTAAACCTCAGTAATCTAATTTAGTCAATTCAAGTCAGGCTTTTCCAAAGCCAAAGTCTTTTTAGGAACAATTTTGAACTTATCCCATAAGATTTCAAGTTTATTTTATTAACTTTCTAAGGTCACCATCTCTTTTTTTTTTTTTGCTACATTTTAACTTTAGATTTTTCCCTGAATGTTGAGGTGAATGTAATTTGAAATTAAGGATTATGAAAGGCTTGACAGACTTTCAAATTAATGAGACCTTAGAATTAGCTCCTTTTGTCTCACAAGAATGATTTTGTTAATTTCCAAGGTGTACATTCAGCAGGGTCTAAAGAAACAGCGAGCTGCCAAGGTGCTGCTTCATCAGACTTCCTTCATTTTGACTTGGTTTTTAGTATTTGCTTCCAAGCATCCATTTTTCACAATTTCCACTGGCTATCTGTACTTGTTTCCCTCAGTGTAAGATTTAGAAGTCCTCAGACATTTCTGTTTAGAGGCCTACTGGTTCCAGTGGTCACAGTCAGAAGAAAGAAAATATCTTCAAGACTGGCATTTTCTTCCTTAAATCCCATAACATTTTTTCCAGTTCCTGAATGAGAGAATAAGCACTTCTCAGAGAGGGGCCAACCAAATAAACCCCTCTCTGGGCCTGGAGCCACTAATCTGTAATTTAATTTCAGGCGGGTGTCTGGGCCATGAGGACACACAGCAAGGTCAAGGGCTACTGTACAGAGAGATCTCTGCATTTGGGCGCAGCCTGGGGTTTGATCAACAGTCTCAACCAGCTTAGGAAGAGGACATAGTATGTGTATGTGCTTCTGTGCATGTGTGTGTGTTTGAGGGGGTGATGAGGAGATATTTCTGTACTACTTAGGTATTTCATATAGGGCAGCAACCAATCAGCACAAAAAAAAACCCATTATTCAAAACAAGTAAAATGTGTGGAATGGCATGTGCAAACAGAGAGGGATTAGCCCTAAAATAGGACTGCATCTAACGGAACAATTCAACAAGTCAATACTGATCTGCATGTAAGTGAAATATATGTTTTACTTTGACCATAATTCATATTTGACTCATTACAGTATGTAGAATACTCTGGTCAGCGGATAAATCAACTAATGGAAGAGTGGAAGGATGAATCTGAGCAGCATGGCTAATCCCGCGGATAAAGAAATATCTGTAATAAACTCGTCCTTGTTCTGCCCGAATGAGCACAAAGTGGCCCTGGGAATGGGACCAATAATTACCAATGACCCAGCAGTTTCACCATGTCTCTTTAATGTAAATAGGCACTCAGTTATCTGACTCAAATGGCTTTGGCATTCATACATGGACATGTGTCACAGGGACTTGCTCAAGTACCTAATTAAAAAACAAACAAAAAAAATCCAACCTGTTCAGCCCCTAGCCCGGAAGAGATCAAACATTCCACACACGCAGTAGAAACTAGCCCAGATAGTTCATTAAAAACAATTTACATATAATACTGTCAGGTCAGTGAGAAAATCAGGGTGTATCCCATGCACCATTTGCAGTTTGCTGGAGCATAGTTGGCATTCAATTTAAATTCCCTCAAGTTACTGAATACAGGAGAGCAGTACACACTGACAGGTACAAGTTACTCCAGCGACAGACGCTAATTAGCAAGTGCAGGAGTAATGGGAGAGCCAAGTTCTCTCTCTGCCAGAGAGACAGTGATGGCAACTGAGTGAGGGTCATCTCTTTAAGTGTCTCGCTTCTTATTAGACAGGGGATCTCTGGCGCAGGCCTCGTCACAACCTATACAGAGTGATGTCAGCAACAGAGAAAGCTTCCTGTCACATCCTGTAATTTTCAAACATAGCTTCTCTTTTGCATACTGCGAAGAACACAACCCACTCAATCGCATTCACTCACCACCTTGGCCTTCCATTGAGAGATATGGAGAGAAAGGGAGGGGAAGGCACTAGAAAATAATGGTACATGATATGTTTATGTGTTGTGATGGAAACTCGAGGGAAAGTCTTAAAAAAAGATGATGGACTCATCTTCTGCTCAGCGAGGCTTTGACATTCTGTAGGGGACACTGGAAATAGTCTCCAGGTTGATGGATAGGTGGAGTGGGATTACCCGCCAGACTCATCTCCTGCCCGCCGCCTGCCACCGACTCCTGGAAATAGGTAAAAAACACAATACGTATAATGCCAGGTTGTTCACTGTGGGAGAGGTTATTAGCTTTGACAAATAATGAAACAACGCCAGCTAACCCAGTAACTAAAGCAAGTTTAGCTAATCCCAATGTTGTGATTTGGCCTCACATGCAGATTAATAGTACTACTATTCTTACTAAGAGCAAAAAAGTAGTAATAATGTAGTGAAACACAAAGAAAATCTGATGTCATTACAATTATAAAAAAGGAAGCTGATTCTCCAACAATTCTACAGCCTTCATGTCTTTCTCCATCTAGACATCCTCTCTTTATCAGAAGTATCTCTGAAATTCTGAAGCTTCTCTTCACTTGCACACCCTGTGGACCGCCCCACCTCTAGCGCAGCAAAAGAAATTGTTCTCCCTGCATCATTAAACACTTTGAATTAACTTGGGTGGAATTTAATTATGTCACACATGAAGCTCTCCTACTTGAAGCATTTAAAAGCAATATAGTTGGCTATATGCTTGGAGGGTCAGTCTTTAGCTACATTATTCAAGTCAGTCTGCTTAGACTGTGTGCAACTGGACTCCTAAATGGGGAAAAAGATCTGGCTCTTTTAATTTCTGCTTCCTAGTGAGTTATCCAACATAAGAAAACCCTGATAACCTGAAAATCCTTGGGGTCATTGTGTTAAAACAGCTGACATGGACCACCAACACTTCAGACCAAAAGGGCCCAGCAAAGACTCTGTTTCCTCAGGAAGCTGAAACAGGCCACATACACACACATACACAAAGGAATGTGATACAAATACACACACAATGTGTTTTCATTCCTTGTGGGGACTTTACATTGACTTACATTCAGATCCTGTAGACTTATCCTAACCTTAACCATAACCACTACTTGCCTCACCCTGACCGTAATACTTAATCTAACCTCATCCTAACCTAAACATTGTTGCCACCCTAAAGTTCAGTTATTTCCTGAGCCCCAGTGATGGCCGAGTCCCCACAGTGTGAGTGTGTGAACAGGTTTCGGTCCTCATGAGGTAAGTAATACAAAGGAACGAATTACTGAAACACACATATATGTACATACACACAAACACCCTCCACCCTCCGAGACTGGTACCACAGATTAAATGTATAGTTATAGAGACAACATGTAGCATATGTTTATTTATAATCAGAATTATATCTGTAAATATAATTTACTATAACTAGTGCCTTTTATTTTATAATTATTGTCAATCTATTTACACATTTGTTTTATTTACCTATATTATGATAACCAACATAAAATGGCATTGTACATGTGCATAATGATAATAAAAATCATCATAAACATGCTGAGCGAAGCTTATAATCTTTGCCTCATGGCACTGGAAGCTTTGCTCATGCTCTGTGCTCCAAGACTTTATGCGTACTTGTCTAAACCTGTCTTGACTCTACTTTTGATTTAGACATAAGTAACTTAAATAGCTTTGACTCTGTGGACTCAGTAAGCAGACCGAGTCTCATGTTTGAAGCACTCACTGTGTCTCTCATAATGTTTCATCAGAGAACAGCAAAAACTGTTAGTGAGTTTCTCCTATCTCCTAATTGAAGCTCATTATTACACACATGACAGGCTATATTGTGAAAAACTCGTGCATGAAAACATAAGGGCACTGTTAGCAGCTTCAAATTGTCAAAGCAAAAACTGATACAGTTGTAAAATCTGTCTTTTTAAATGACAGGAATCTTCGCAAATTGCAACACTCGCCACAGGAATATCTGTTTTACGGAGCAACTCTGCTTTTGAAAATAGTCTGACTTCCATTTTCTCCTTGTCAGAGGCTATTCCGACTTGCCAACTTATCCATCACCTGAATGAACACAACACAATTTTCACACATGAATTTTCTCATCAGATTCAAATCTATGCCTATGTGCCATTAAAGTGATCTAAGGGCGTGTATTTTAAAGATGAATCATGCTGCTGCTGCTGCTGAGGTGAAATGAAAGGCCTCTACCTCCACCAAGACAGTGAATGAACATCTACGGCAGTGTTGTTTAGAATCCTACAAAATAAGAAAAGATTTTTTTTCTGGTATTGTTAGTACTGGCAATCAACTAGAATTACCTCTTCACATTTGTATGCATCTGCCAACCAGTCAAATTCAAGGAAATGGGACAGATGTGAGGTGACTGACCTTTGACCTTTGACCACCAAAGTCTATTCTGTTCAGCCTTGAATCTAATTGGACATTTGAGCAAAATTTGAAGAAATTCCCTCAAGGTGTTCCTGACATATGTTCACATGAATGGGCCGGCCGGATGGAGGACAACATAATTCGTCCACTTGTGGCTGTCACCAGCATGGATGCATAAAAACTCCAGCTTAAGTGTTCAAACAGACAGCTTCTCTCTGAGAGTAGAACCAAAGCAGCCATGGCAGGCAGACTCATTACTCCACTCTAACACCTGAGACACAAACTGATGGACAGATTCATTTGCAGCAGGTACAACAGATTGCACACTAATTTACTTTGGTTATAGGAGGTTGTTCACATGAAAAAGACAGCGGCACAGTGGAGTCAGTGTAATGAACTATTGCAAATCCACACTGTTCCCATTTCCTTCCTCATTTACACTGAAATGTAAGTGCCATATTTCATTGTCTGTGTTGGTACCCCCACCCCTGCCTATTTTTTTTTTTATTTATACTGTATATTTGTGTAACATCCAACAAAACAGACAGAAACAACAATCAAACACAAGGAAAGTAAATGTTTGGGAATGATCTTGAAGAAGTATCTGAGATAATGAGGAAGGTGATACTTAAAGATCACTGCCAGATGATCAAATGCACCTTAACAGTTTCACTGCACAAGAATGACTAATTATGAAGTATAATGTATACACTACTTAGAGAGAGGATATACTGAACTGCTTTTATGGATACATTTACATTTCAGCAAATACCTTTACAAGCTTGAAATAGAGGGCTGCAATAGAAATAGGATGTCATGGGTCCTGCACAAATAGTGGGGTGAGGGGTATATTTAAATAGCAGTTAGTATCATCAATCTGGAAAGAACTATAAGAGGCTGTTATTATTAGGCTTAACCACCCGTGTAAATACAGTGCCTTCAAGTAAACTGTGCAAATCCGCCACCAAATAAAGCCATGCATTCTCTCTCCCGTCCTCCAGTCCCCTTCTTTGTATAACAAGCAATGAAGTCAGTTAGATGAACACCAGTAACATCAGAACTTGCCATTCACACAATTCAAGAACAGGATCACTGCTGCTCTGAAGTCGTACATTAGGGTATGGAATTGTAATGTTGCTAAAGGTAGTGTAAGATTTGAGTCTCTAGTTACTTTATAAGCTTTAGTTACTTCTCATACCTTTAGTTACCTTTCATAACTTTATCTTACTTGATTATACATATTACAGCTGTATTGATGATTGTCCAGAACTACTGAGCTTTGGTTATTTTAATGCATTTGTTTCCCTTGCTTATATATTTTACAGCTGTAATGAAGCAGAATCTGCTTACTTTGAATGCTGTAACTTCTGTGTAGAGACTAGATGTCTGCATCTCTTTGTGACCAGACAGCCTATTCACATTTTAACAAAGACAAGTTGGCTTGTTTTGCACCCACACCTACATTTAACATACAAATTAGCATCACACACACAGACACCTGGTGTAGATCACATTCCAGCAAGGAGGTGTGAGCTCCGGCTCACCAAATGACCAATAGGATTACAATGCATGAATTGTTGTACCTTTGTTGAGTGCAGAGCAGCCCAAGAAGATAAAATGTATTGTAAGACCTGAATTCGAGGTCAGTGGATGGAACTCCTGCGGGAGCTCTGTCTCTCTGATCCCAGCACTGTAAGGCCTACCTGTGATCAGATTGAGTGCAGAGCAGCCCAAGAAGATAAAATGTATTGTAAGACCAGTGGATGGAACTCCTGCGGGAGCTCTGTCTCTCTGATCCCAGCACTGTAATCAGACCTGTGATCAGACATTCAGTAAACTTTCTGCTGATTTTAAACAGTCCTCTCCTGTCGTCACTTCTCGTACTTCCAACAACAGAACGGGTTAACTTCTAACAGTAGTATCAGAGAAATTTTTTAAAGGCTTTTAAGGAATACTTATTTTTAGGTAACATCTTCTAAAGCTAGATTATCAAAGGAACTGTTTAATGTTTTGAAAAGAGTACAATGAGATGATTGACCACTCTCAGGCCTGCAATGTAAATACGAAGCTATGCCAGGGAGCTGGTTAGCTTATCTTAGCAGAAAGACTGTAAACAAGGGGAAAGAACAAGTTGGGATCTGTCTATAGGTAACATCCTCTGACTGTACTGTACCAGCAGCTTCACTATTATAATTAACATGTTATATCTTATAACCTGTACAAAAACAACATGGGACTATTTGCTGGTGTTAGGTATTTTTAGTCAGATAGATATTGGATAGATACTTGATGTATTAGAAATGTTTAGTGGAGATAGGATGTCTAGTTAGACTGTTAAATGCTTAGTCATGCTTATGAGTTTCTACAGGGTACATCTGGTCAAGGATAACTAGAGAGAAGAGTTGATGACTGTCAGCAGACAGGGTGTTTAATATTATTATTATGACGTGTATAACTGTAGCCTTAGCCATAATATGTTCTTATGTTTAAGTCACGACATGT